TTTTTAACTAACTCAGATTGACGTAAAATATAAGAAAAAACTAACTAGACTTTCCCCAAACAAAACCAATTTTATTAATCGGGTATGTACTCTATTGAGCCCAGATACAATAAAATACGCCTTCATTGAGGTCAAGCACGAACTGAATGTTTCACTTTCCACGAAGCGTATACTATTTCGACGATTTTTTTACGATACTGATTGTTCGACCGACGACGACGGACGGTGTACAGTTTTGTATTTATTAATTTATTTATCATATTAAAATTCGTCTTATAGGATAGTAAATATATATAGATTAGTAAAAACGACCGTGGTTCTCCTGCACAACCGCAGGTTGGTACTAGCGCGTAATTAAATGTTCATACCGATATGTATAGTGTATACTGTATACATCACTTGTGGCGTATAATTTGCATCGAATAATTGTGTATGTGTATTATATTAAATAATAGTGAATAATAATAATAACCATTAGTATTGTTACTGTCTACTGTGAACAAAATTGAATAAAATGTATAAAAATAAAACAAATCAACCGGAAAAAAATGTGTGGCGGTCAGGACTCTTCGGGGTTATGATAATAATAACAATAATAATATAAAATACGATAATAACGATACTATTGAAAGCGAGGGGGACGAACACTATAGCTGCGGTGTGGGCGGAGACGACGGTGGTGGTGGCGTAGTTATTTATTATATTTATCGGTTGAGTGACTGGTGCCAGCAGTTAGTGGCTGTGGCGACGGTGGTGGTGGTGGTGGCAGGGGCTGTGGAGGAGCGCGTGTTGTGTGTGTTGCGCGCCGCTTTTCGTCAGGCGCGGAGAGAAGTCTGCGGTTAATGATTTAACATTTGTTTTGGCGCCAGAACCAGAGGCTCTCCCGCCCGCCACCCATTTGGCGATAGAAGCGCCTGTGTAATTAGGGAGCTCCCAGCTCGACTGCCCCCCGTTCCACACACCCACACACAAATGCACACACACAAACCCACCCTTAGCGTTCCCATCCTTCACTTAGCCACCCCTAGAGTTCCCCATCCCCGGCATTCCGTAGCCACCGGAAATTTCACAAACGCCAGGCTCGTGCTTGTACTCAATTATATATATATATACAGGGCTTAACAGGAAGACCTGAAAAAAAAAAAAATGATGCAACTTCAACTCATGACAAAAATTGTGAAAACCATCTGGTTAGTAAATAATTTAAGAAATATACTCATGTTAGGAAATTGCAAAAATAACGTTTTGAAAAAAGTTATTACCTTCGTTCTAAATTAATTTATTCAAAAAAATATTGATATTTTAAACAATTCAAAATAATAAACTACTTGACTTAGATAAATGTTTTTACCATCAAAATTGTTTTTATAAACAGATTTACAAATTAGCTAATTTTAATGTTCTAAAAATGTTTAATATGAATTCAGTTTTTTTATTTTCAGTATTATAAATAAAAATATTATTTTTATATTTTACATTTAGCTCAAGTGAATATAAATTATAATACTAATTATAATATTAAATATTTTAATATTGATTTGAAAAAAAGTTATTTCATCCTTCAGGTCTTCCGGTTGCATTCTGTATAATATGCAATAATATACACATTGTAATGTAAAATGTTTATTCGTTTAACCCTATATACTATATGTACTCGCTAATACGCAGACCTAAAATTGCCTCGAAATATGTGATTTTTTATAACGTTTTTCGTGATCACCAAGGTCCTTGTGAGATATGACGTTTGAGTTCAGCCCCGTATATGATAATAAAACGGTGTTCAAAGCCAATCGCAATGAAACGAACAGGATACATAGATGAAATTCACGCCACTTTCATAACCCACCTGTGTGTGAAAATAACCGCTGCAATATGGCTGAGGTTAATAATTAGAAAACTTAGAAACTCTGAAAATGTATTCGATTTTATCGTCTCGCGTCGAGGCCGTGAGGATTCTAGACCCTAGATCATAAAACATAATATCATTATCAATATTACTATCGTGCCACCGACTTTTGGTTATGACTTCACATTTTGTATTCGTTGGATACTAAGAATCCATTTTTGGATTTTATTCAGAACTAATTCTGATGCGACTTGCAGCGGTGAACAAAATATAATATCAGTTTCACGTGTGCAATTTTATACGAGGTATGAACACAATATAGCAATATAATATATAATTATATAACAATCGTCGGATAATTTATTTTTATCTCGGTTTCACGTTTTAAAATATAATACATGAAAATATATTTCACTAATAATGGAAATATAATACACTCTCGAATACCTATACGTACCTATACGTTGTTTAAGAACGACAAAAATATAGTATACTATAATAACATTATGTCTTCATTAAATTTCTCACGCTGAATTTTAAATCACACAAAAGCCCGCAGACGTATTGTTACAACAATAAATAGCAGATAAAAATCCACTGAACAAGGTGGCGGGTAGGATGTCAAAACATATAATACTATCATTATCCGGTAATACGCGTGGGTGTGCTAATCAAAAAAGCTGTGACGAAAAAAAAACCGCTCAGGAACTGCCGAGGTACGCAATTTAATAATATTACCTTCACCTATTTTTCAAACTTTATATTTTTATCATACACCTACGCGTGAACAATATTTATAATATTTATGATACAAACCACCGAAACGTTTAATAATAAAACAACCTCATTGTAGTTATATTAATCGGGTTTTGTCGTCTACTCGGCGTTGGCGTTTCCTAAACAATCGTAACCCGAATTTAAAGCCGGGCCTGGAGCAAATTCGGAAAATTCTATTTACTCGAGCCGCGGTCTCTCTTTTGTCGACGCCATTTTATAATAATTTATACATTCGAAATAATGTTTATGCCGTGGAGCAGCTGCAGTAATTACGCGTCCGCGAGCTCGGGAAAATATCAATGCGGCGGCTGCAGTTATTACACCCACCCCCCATCCACTTTAAATCAATCGAAATTATTACATTTTATATAATTGTATGCCGAATAAGTGAGTTAACCGGGTTTTTTTTTTTACTTTATTAAGTAAATCCAACTTAGCTAAAAGATAAATAGTTTGGCATTATTCAATTAGTAACTATAATATAGCATGCCTCAGATGAATACGGTTTGATATTTTTACAAGCTCTTCAGCGGCGTGGCCATGTAGAGATTCGTAAATAAAGCTTATACAGTAGTATCGTAGAAAATAGTAAAGCTATTCAAAACTTCAAATACGAGTATTATTGTTGCGCACAAAGTTTAAAATTATAATTTATCATTCAAACGGATACCTAGCCTCTAACTAAGCACGTAGAAAACAATGTCCTAAGTGCAATTGACGCATTAATGATTTATACTGTTAATAATTAATATACGTAAATCTGATCGCAAATCTTGACACAAAATACGGATAACCGTCAAAATGTTTTTACAAACATAAAATATTAAATTGTCTATCGTCTCTGAAAATAAAGACTGGCTTGCCAACAACGATGCACTGATCCGGGTCGTGTTACGTTATGTATATGATATTTGTTCTATTGTGCATTTATTATTATTTATTTTAATAATAATCGTGTACACCGCTTACGGTGTCTGCAGCAGAACAGTTTTGCGTATAAGCTTTCTTAAGTACTTTTTGTCGTCAAACGAATCGGAAAATATTCGTCGGAAGAATGCGTTTAATGAAGTCTACGCGTATATTATACAGCCTGTCCTCGGGTCGCCGCCGACATTCACACTCGCTCTCACAATATTTTATTTGGTCTACAAATACCTCGCCTGGTCTCCATTTAACTGCAGTTACGAGTGAGATTCCTAAATACATATTATATGGAAAAATATTTCACTCCCCGCGACCCCCAATGCATCGAACTCTGTACGGGTATTCTAATGATGACGTATACGCACAACACAAATATTTTCTCGTCACCGTTGGTCCTAAAAGAACTACCACTTCTCTTCCATCCTCAACCACACCGTTCCCCTCGATGGCTTTTACGACCCCTCTCAGCTCATAAACACAACTGTACATCCGCATAGGAATGATTTTACATTATCATTATTATGTATAGAGATATTCGGCGATGGCGTGGTGCACCGTAAATCCTTGTTATACCTATTATAAGTATATTATATTATTATATGTAAGTACCTATCTATATATAATATTATGCTTATAATGACGGTTTGGGGTAAAACGAATTTGCGGCGACTATGCAATAGGCTTAGTGGCGACACCCGGATCTGTTTCCGATCGGGAATAATTCTTTAGCTATTCGTTTGTCAAAACCTAGTGATGTCATCATTGAACACAACGAATTTTTAATTTAATTGATTTTAAAAACAGAATCATAATACATTTTTATAATTATATTGTGTAGCGATTTAAAAATTGTGTAAAAAAAATAAAACAATATGACGTTGAATGATATATCAATAACAATAATTATACATTTTGTAGACGTTACTGTCATACATTTTTCTACTATTATCTGTGTTTGTGTGTGTGTGTGTGTGTGTGTGTATTTAATTCTCGAAATTAAATAAAACATTTAGGAATTGTTGCGATAAAAGAATCGCCCAATGCAATGTAATGTAATAATAATGTAGCTGTATATCGCTCCCTTTCCTACTTCCACTCCTCCGCGCAGTGCGACACAGCGTCTCGGTGTTATGCCCGGGACTTCCGTTTCGGATATAATAACGTTTGGAAAAAGGCGAAGAAACGCAACCAACACAACAATAATACTTTAATGTATAATGTATATGCAATATTATTTATCCAACATAAACCCCATAGAATGTCGGAATTCGAGAGCGCGCGTGTTTTATTTACAATATTTTATTACAATTTTTCTTAGCATTATTAATTTATCTGACGATAGAGTCGGACGCACCAAAGTCCTAAATGCGGTAGACGTAGGAATCGATACAGGACTACCTGTATTAGAATGTAGTCGTAACGATGAATGAGGGCGCCCACGTCCCCAAACGAAATGTGGAAAATCCTATTTTTTTTGGCGTACCCGTGCCAGCAGGTGTTTGCGAAACGGCACGTGCGCGATGAGGTAGAAAATAAAAACTCCGATCGAAATCCTTTCGAAATCCGCCGACCGCCACATATCGTACGCGTATGTCGTCCGGTGTATCCGATCGGCGGAGATTCGCCGCCGCTGTTTCGATTACCGTCGAGCGGCGTCCGATCGGCAACGATCGCAGTGGGAATATGGACCATCGCCGCGCCGGTCGTAAATTATTCGTCGCAATGCTGTTTATACCCGAAAACTATATAATATATTATTATACATTGTTGTGTGCACGACCTCCGTGTGTGTATACGAGCAGCATTACACACACGTCCCAGAGTGGTCGCACCCGGATAAGGATCGGCGCATACGACAACATCGCGAGTCGGCGAAATTTCATTCGACATTTATATAATTACATTGCGCGTAGCGTATACATCATGACGTATACCGTGACCGTAAATAACCGTGGTATCTAAGCCCAACCGACAAGACCGCATTATATACGTCGTACTACGGTATAGCGTGCGTCTTCGTCCGCGACTATGGTAGTGGTAGTGCTGGTGGTCGAAATTGAGAAAAACTGTATAAATGTGCGGGGGGGGGAATGGCTATATTTAGACTGAAAAACCGCACATCGTCCCTATTTCCAATCGATCGACATTGGTAATATTATTATTATAACATTGTCTGGGAAAGCGATTTTTTTTTTTTGAAAATTGAGTAATAGCTATAATAACAATACCAAACATAACATGCAACGTTATGATATTAAAAAGTATGTAGGTATACAAAATTATAATTTAGACGTTTTCAGTTAAAGTATTCGAATTTTAAATGAAACAAAATGATCATGAAATTATCTAGCATTGGCATTCTATCACAGATAATTAGATAAAGTACAAATATACAGTAAACGACATAATTTGTATTGTTTTGGTATACGAAGCACTGTACATTTTCATTATTGTTACTATAGTTTTTAATTTTTAGATTTTTTATATATTTAAACAGTGATTTTATATTTAATAACTTCTTATAGTAACTAACCTTAAACCACGACTGGTCAAATATCTTTCAGAGGGTGATATTTATTAGCTATTATGGACATCACCATTATCTAGCGACCAGAAAACAAAGCAGTACGATATTTGACGATAAAAAAATGTACAATATATAAAATATAGTATATACCTATTACAATCGATTTGTATTATATTGTATAAAGCTCCGGCGGATTACGCTATTTCAATCAGCCATTTTAGGGATTTGGGAATTAATATTGTACCATGAATTGCAGGCACCAATCGAGGTTTTTTTACGAACCGTTTAAAATCGATGGTAAAAAAATAAAAATAAAAATCCAAACTCCAATATCAATGTGTTCGTGGTATTCTGACATAATAAATCATAATATTATAATAAGCCGTAGATGGTTAAGTTATGTTGTATTTCTCTTTACACGCGCCGATGTACCGATATTGCCAAACGACGCGTTGCCTTTAAGTTTATACTGCGTTTCGAATGTTTACGTCATGAAATAATATTAGAATTTTTTCCGTGGTCATAATAATCTGAGATCCTGTGATTTCTTATGTCATATAAAACGTCGGTATATAAACAAAAATTAACCGCACAATAATATCGGATGCTGCGATGGAATACATGTTTAGCCCATTGATACTTTTGGGGTGCACTTATTAAGTGAATGCACTTATTTGTTAGTAATTATTATAACAATTATAAAAAAACCATCCATAGGTACACGATTTACTTTGAACTCACACGTTTCGTTACACAACTCAAACGAAACACCTCATGGACAACGGCTAATGGCTGTAGTTTGTACTTTGTAGTATACTCGGTTCGAGTACCTACTTATATTATCAATTATTATGATATATTAATTGTTGTATATGATGCCATGACATTGATTTAAAAATTGTTTTATACTCAAATTTTGCCATCGTTATAAACAATTTAATAAATTCTACAAAATTATAATATAATAAACGTATATTCTATACAGGTACAATATTAATTTTAGACTTTACAGTATTAAGTAGCGAGTAAGGATCGCATACCTAAATGGTCATATACGTAAATTATAATCGTTACACTATACACAATTATTGTAATACTGCAACTGTGCTTGTACATAATATTATTATATAATAAATATTATTTAGTTTTGCGTATAATAATATGCTTCTATCCTATAAAATGCACTCGAGTAGATTTAATGTTCTACTCTTGGTTTATCTTTCTCACTATGTACATATAGTGGTAAAAAATACAAAATTAAAAATAAAAACTCCAGACACGAAGCTGTGTTTTTAGTGTAGTACATTAATGGCATTCAATAAACACTACGATGTTTCAAAACATATTATAACGCATGAACTATATATGCATATATTCGTTATTATAAACAGTATTCAACAGTTCTCCACCGACGTAGTTTCCGATACTTTATAAACAATCGTATAATATAATAACATAAGACTTTATTAGGTTATAACAGTTAATAGTTATACTAAAAAATTGGTTTAAGAAAAATAAACAAACAAAAACAATGATTTTTCAGGATATAATTAAAATGACAATTGAGTAAAAAAAAATTAAAAAATAAAATATCTATAATATACGTATCATATCATATACGTAATTGTAATTTATTTTTCATGGTTTTTAGAACTTTTATCTTATACTTTCAAACAACGAAGTTGGGCATCGCTGACTTAGCCAACCCTGTAGCGTTTTTGCAAAATATGTTTAGTCATATCGTATGATAGTAATATATGTACTTGATACGTTCACTGGCCCAACGTGAACGATGTAGTTATATAACCGTACATTGTTCTATTAATTTGGTGCTATCGAACTACTTGTACAATCGGTATGATTATTATCTCTAGACTTCCGGCCCAGAGGTGTAGCGGTACGTATACGTCTATATATACTCGTATATCATATCAAATGAAAAGCACGTCTATCGGGAACAGTTTTTTTTTTTCGTACTCACGACCCCTCCGCCCGCAAGAGTCCGAGTGACGTCGGCAAAATCCAAAGTTTTCTGGCGGCTTTTGTCGTCAGCAAAAACAAAGGACGAGCCGCTCGGCCGGGCACGTGACCGGAATGGTAACAATGTACAAACAAGAGAGTGGTCGATTCGCGCGCGCGACGAATACCAAAAGCCGAATGCCGACCGCTCGTACTACAGCCAAAGGAGGTGCAGGACGGCGGCGGCGGGTGATTCAAAGTTTGGCCTGACCACGTCAGGTCGTTTATATACACAGCCGTACACGCACGCTGCTACTTATTGTGTGTATTTGTTTTACGGCTCGCGTATGCACATTCGTACACGACCGGATTGTTATATAATATTAATATTATATACGGCCGAGCGCTGCTGATTAATAGCGCGTACGCCACCGTCGTGGTGTTGTAGGTTAGGTATATACTATTACTATATACCCGCCAATGAAAACGCACGTGCGTATTGACCCGGAAATTCGGAATTTTTACGCTGTCAGGGCGCGGGTACGAGACATGCACCCCGCCGATGGATGGCCGGGAGACGGATACGTTTTTATTTCCTGACTTTTTGTGTGTGCTTGTTGCGGTTTCGTGGAAGCTACTGCAGCTGTAGTGGTCGGCGGAGGAAAATAATAAAAAGCCCATTTATGTCGCGAGAGTCCTAACCCTCATCCGGCTCTCTCACCGCTCGCCGATCGAGAACAAAACGGCCGTCAACAGCCGGGCATCGGCCTATACGCGTAAAATATGGATTCAATTTGTAGTCGTAATCGCGCTCGAACAGATTTGGCGGGCGGCGGATATTGATGAGCGGCGGCGACGGGCCCCTCGCGACTGCTATAGCTATGTATAGAAAATGCACTCATATATGTATACTCGGCTACTAAAGGTACTCGCCCGCCCGCCCGATGTCGTCTCACCGTCAAGTCGATTCGTTTTCGGAGGACAGAGAAAAAAACCCGAAAGAAAACAAATACGACGGCCCTCACTCCATCTCCACCCCACACCGCCAACGCATCCGGCCGAACACGCTATATCGATTGTTGTGTGTTTTTTTTCTGTTTTTTTTTTTTTTTAAATTAAATCTCTCGTAAAAGGTAAAACGCGCAGTAAAACATAAAGCTGCCGTAGTATAGGTACACGCACGCGCACACGTTACGTTCCGTGGAGATCCGACGACTGCTATACCGCCCTCGCACCAAAACACGCATACACATTATATAATAATATGCGTATACGATACACATGCACACGCATATAGGTACTCTCCCTCGTGTGGGACCTTTTTTTTTGGAAGGGGTGTTGCACCCTATCCACCCTGCCCCGACGATCAACCCCTCGGTCCGCTTCGTCGTTTGCTCTGTAAAGCCACGCGCGAAGATAAGGTTTCGTGTACCCGAATGTTTTTCCACATGTATATATACAATATCACATAATATATATGTAGGTATATTATATATACACCGCGTGTATGTGCGGGCGCTCGCTCGTTAATTGTAATTTGCACCGCTACTCTGTACATCTACTACACCGGGCCAGCGAGAAAACCGTACCCGCTGGTTTTGTGTATTCCGGTCTCGCACACACTCCGTCTGCTCACAGTGTGCACATATACACCCCCGCACACATAATATAGCTGCTGCTGCTGCTTTTGCCGCCACCGCCGCCGTCGTGTTTACCTCGGGCACCCGCCTGCCGCGTTTGCTTCAATCTGCGTCGTATACGCGGCACGTGAGATTAGTCAAGTGTGCGAAGTCACAAATAAAATCGTCCGGGTGTGTGTCGATGTATGCCGGGCGAAATCAGATTTGGGTGGTAGAGGATTAGTGTATATATAAAAGAGAACGGAAGACACACGCTGGTGCGCACACACACAAGTAATATACATACCTATATATATATATACATAAGGGCGACATAGCGACTATAACTTTGACGACGCATATATATAATATGTTCCAACCTTATATACGTATAGTGTACAAGGCGACAGCGGTGGTGGTCGGGTGTTTGTTTACTCTTTCCACAACGACGAGCGTATATATAAGGTCTTAAGTTATTCCGCGAGCGTAGAACATGAAGTTCGCGGCTCGTTAAAACTCGACAAAAAGCCATTATTATACGCGCGGGCGGGGAGACCACCGCGCTGCGCCTTCAACATATATCGCACGCGCGTTGTTTCGATGTATTATAGGATGTGTATGACTTTTCAAGCTCGCACACCATTTTTCGAGCAGACCTCCGCGAATATAATATTGCAAACTTGGGAGGCATTTGTCAGTATCCCGGTTTCAGTCGACGCGTCGGACGTGCCAGAGCGGAAGCAGCGAAGAGCCGGATGTAACTTTTCCGCGCGAAACCGATGAACGCAGAAAATGTCCGTCGGGCGTACTAATTTGCTTCGTACACTCTTCTTTTGCAATTTGATAGATCGCGTGCGTCATCGCCACCACACCGTTTTCTATTTAGCTCCCACATAATATGCGGGACGTCGACTATAATTTATTGTACGTCGTATCCGACCGTCGGACGTCTGTAGTAGTAGCGATAAGAATTATACTGCTCCTTTGGCACTTTGGCAGAGCGAATTCTTCCCTGGTTATGCGCGTCAAAGTCTTAGGTGGACGTCACACCACCCGCATGAGTTGTCTAAGTCTAACGTACAACTAAAACATAGTACCCAATTAAGGCGTTTAATAGAATCGATGATTTTGCGTTGTAAGAATCCTCGGCTAGGTATATATTGTTGTTCGGTCGATTTTGTTAAGCTCTACCAAAAATTGTCTACCAGCTGCCTTCAATAATTTACAAAATAAATCTTTCAATATGACCAAAGACCTAATAAAAGACCAAATAATAGGGATAGTGAGTTTGGTATGGTTTTGCTTTGTTTCCACACTCATAAATGTGGGTACATACAGGTATTAAATATTTTTCTATTTTGGTTTCGATGTACTATAGCGTACCGAATATATACCAGTTTTATAATTATTATTTTATAAGGTTTTGCTCGTTTGTTCAGCAGCTGCTGTATGTGCGCGTGGATTGTCGCACCGAACAAGTCTCGTCGTAGATCTCGGTAATCGCCATTCGACATTGACGGGACGGTTTGACGGGGTAATTAACACAGCAACAGTGAAGTTATCGTGCGACTCAAGCGAAAAACAGAATAACAATAAAAATAACAATAATTAATAATAATAAAGGTTGACACTGATCCACACGAGTTTATCCGAACGCAGATAATAATAATATTACATCCGACGGCGCCGAAGCTGCGTCAATCGCGGAAGGTGTCCTCAGATAGTCGATGCTTATTTATTTTTATCATTTCCAACCCTCTGTGAAACCTCCCCACGGCATAATTGATAGGAAATTACCGATCCGCAAAAAGGGACGGGTAGGAATTCCGGTACGAACGCTGAGTGGCACCTATCGTAATAATTATTAGTATTGTTTTACGAGAGAGAGAGAGAGAGAGAGAGAGAGAATACGACGACACAGCTCTAAAGAGTTTTTTCATATTAAAATTATGTATTTTTTCGTCCCCCAAGACGTACACTTAATATATATTCTCGACATTTCCATTCGTGCAAAGTACGAATGCTGTATACATTTACATTTATCGAATCGAATATTTGCTTTGTTATAATATTAAACGTATCATAATACAAAATAACGACGATTCGCGATGTCTGTCCGTTTTAAATATTGTACGAGAATATGACTTCTATCGCATACGATATATAATTTGTTTAATTGGCCTATAATAGCCGCGTGGTATATAATTCGTTACGAGTCACCGTGACCTACATAACGGAAAGTTTCGTACTTTATGATGTACGGACCGAGATATCGTTATCAAGGACACTGAGCGCGTAATCGAGGGGAAAAAATGAAAAACAATTCATTGACAATAATATGGTTGTTGACCCGCGCGTATCGTTGACAATAAGATAATACACGAGTATAGAAAAGAAAACGGAGACAACGTAGGCTATATATTTTCCGTTTTCCGATACTAAATCGGAACCGTTCTAGACAAGTCATATTATATTATACTCCTATATACATCATATTAATATGTGCGCATAAAAATCGATTTCACCATAATTAATAAACCATGTCGGCGCTCACACTAACTCTTAATAGTTATTACTATTATTATTACTTCTATTGTTACATGTAACGGCTTCAAACGTAACAAATTTATATACTTACTACCTATATGTATGCGTACGTCGTACCATTAAAACGAATATACCTTATTTTTTCTGTTGAGAACGCACTCTGAATAGTTATGAAATGCACTATAATGTCGCGAAACTATTATACACATATTATTATATATATATAGGCCATAGGGAGGTACATATAAAAAAATATATTACTCAAACAGAGCTCAGCGCACACAAGCGTATAATGGAATATAAATAATAATTACATTAAAATAACCCTCTTATACATAATATTATAATATCACCACGTTAATAGTAAATAATAATTAATAATATTATTATGTTGTACCAACGATTCGGGTTTTTTAAATTATTATTATTAAAATTAGTTTTATTCGTACCGTGATCGTAACACAATGTAATACGTACTATCATTAATGACGTCATGTATTATACGATATAATATTATCAGTACGCTGTTGGATTATGGAGCACGTACACAATCCGAACGATGTTTTTATGTTATATGTTTTTTTTTAAATGTTCAATTCCCGCGTTCTCTTCGTCGCCGAGACGCACTACCTATGTATACAGCATGTACACGTGTACAATAATATAATAATAATATATTATAATATTATGTGTACGCTGAGTCAGGGCCATAAATCGTAATAGGTTACTCGGATTGTGTACGACGCGCACTGCTACTGGAATATTATGTATATGTACGCGCGCGCATACGACGTGACACAGAAGAAAACGTCTACGGAAAGGCTAATTTATTCTATTAAATTTCGCATGTACGCGCAGCAGCAGCAGTGTATGTATAGGATATTAAATTATATTAGATGTATTTATGTATGTATATGTGTATACACGTGGTACTGATAAATCCGTAAACACACGTATATATATATTTTAATATAATATTATAATACACATATGTAGTTATCGAACGGTGAGGAATAAGGAAACGGTGAGCCTACTAGTATAATAATATAATAGTATATACACCGCCATATATAGGTTTGGCACGTAATTAACATTTATGACATATTATATTATTATTTTGCGAATAAAATATCGTTTTTTATTGATTTTCAAAGTGCACATACACCACAACCACCATTAACGTCTATAAAAGTAGCGGCCAACGACGATGTATTTGTTATTGTTTTATTTCTTATACCTATATAAGAAAGCTTTTGTCTAACGTCGTCGTACAATATTACATGACTTAACTACAGTTATGGTTTCGACGTTCTTGTAATATAAATACACGTCCAATAATAATAATTATTATTATTAATACGTAGTATGTCCCGAGGGAATTTTCCAGTTTTCCCTACCAGATGTTCATTATTATCATACAAAATATACGACAGTCAAAGTGGCTTTAAATAAGCTGAGGAATGCGCATCTATATGTCATATTACGATACTTATATACCGTTGAAGTAACTGAAAAAATGTTCATAGGCAGTTAAAAGTCTATGTTTCTGTAATGATCTTCTCAAAGAAATACCATCTTTGTTTAGATTTCAATTATTTTTTTATTCATTCGAAAATGATTATCTAAGATTTGTATGCAATGAATACAACAATAGTATCTAATATATATTGTTATTCATTTGCAAAGACAGAATGACTTGTGAGACGGAAGAGAGGGTGGTTTCCTTCGACAGTGTTTATTCAAATATTTCAAACGCTTCTAGACTTTATTTATTTGCCTGTGTAAAGTGAAGCTGCTAACGTATTCACGATTAATTGCTGACCCCTGGAGACTGCAAACACACACTAGTGAAGGCCTATGAAAATCAGTATTCTGTCTTCCAAACGGATCGATGATAGTTGTATTTTGTTTTTGTCGTTAGTGATGCTGTGTCTAATGGCCAAGTGCAAAAACTTTAGCCACCATTTAGTTGTTAAACAAAAAAAAAACGAAGTTAGCGTACTAAAGACTAGAGAGCAACTAGTGATAATTGTGATTATTTAATAAATTCTACTTTATATTAAAAAATAGGCGCCGGTAAAAGTGTATTGAGAAAAGAGGGCTGTTTTATTTTTGAAAGCCCAAGATACATAGGCGCAATTTGGGTTGAACTTATGGGGGTGCTAGATTTATATCAAAATAAATGGGGGTTTGCCCCACACATCTCCTTCCATTCGTACAACTTTATTTTATACACCTTCTCATTAATCTTAATACAAATAAATACACTTTTACCTATATTATTATTCTAATACCTATGTATCATTATTCATTATTATTATGAATAGGTGTCTTAGAAATAATTGTATCCAATATCCAAATACCTATGGCATAATTGACAATAAAAATTCGATGATGCTATCAAAAATTTGGGGGTGCTAATATAATTTTTGGGGGTGCTAAGCACCCCCAAGCACCCCCCAAATTGCGCCTATGCCAAGATAGCCGTTGAGTAAAAAGCGCGTCGTCGTTAAACACTGTATCCAAAATCGGCGTACAAATTATGACAAACATATTATTTTTATACTTAGAAATAATAATAACAACAACAGAAAATTATATGAATACTTTTTTTTTCAGACTTGCTACGAGATGGAACGGTACCTGAAGGAAGAACCAATGGTGTCATCCTCGCCCACACGGTCCGAGTCACCATGGCTGACGACGTGGTCAACGCGCGTGGAGGTGGAGGTGGGCCTGGACTGCGCGAGTAGCGTGACGTCCAACAGCAGTTCGCCTTCGACGTGTTGGTCCGGATTCGCGACGCCGCCACCCAGCCCGCCGGACGAGACGGACGTGTCGCCGACTGTGGTGGCGTCGCTGCTGTCTTCGGCCGCAGCCGTCGCCGCAGCCGCAAAAGCCGCGGCCACCGCTTCGACCACAGGTGCGTCCGGTCGTGTAGCTTCCGCCGCGACCGCGTCCACCCCCGCCACGTCGGCGGCCGCCACCACCACCGCCGGTCTGCTGAAGGTGACCGTCGCCCCGGCCGCCGCGTCTGGGGCCACCGTCAGCCCGGTCAGCACCGCCAGTACCTGTACCGCCGGCACCAACAACGCCAGCACCAACACCACCGTCACCGTCGGCGGCCGTACGGCGGTCGGCACCGTGGCCGCAGTGGCGACGACGATCACCGCCGCCGCGTCGCCCGCGCACCGCGAGCATGGCACCGCCGCGGCCGCCGTTGTCCACGCTCCGGTGTTGTCCATCACCACGGCCGCCGCCGTCGCGTACCACCCGAGGCTCCACCTGTCACCTGACGCCGCCAAGAAGATACACAAGTGCAAGTATCCCGGCTGTGAGAAGGTGTACACGAAGAGTTCGCACTTGAAAGCTCACCTCAGAACGCATACCGGTAAGTCCCCATATATATTATATACTTTTGATTTTAAATTGTTCGATTTAGGACCGAAGTGCGTATACTACCTATCGGTCTAATATTCGAAACATTACTTTAAGATAGAGTAAAATAAGAGTAGGTACAATACATTTAGGATAGAATGTTTTAATTTTGGCTCATTGTTTATAAAAAATAACATTTTTTAAATCATTGCATTTGCTTATAATACATAAGAACAATTTTTTTTTTTGATTTTGGTTCAGTATAGAAACGATAAACATTTTGGTTTCTAATTCGAAAACATTAAATTAATTGTAATAGTTTCGTTTACGCTAAGTTCGTGCATGAAAAAAATATATAATATTAATAATATATGTTATATACAATTTCGTCTTCAAGTTTGTGTTAAGAAGAATTTTAGTATAAAATCCCAAGCATGGCATTTTTATAATATTTACAATTTCAGTTTAGGTTTTTAAAACTAACCGATGAATTTATTTCCATTACAAATCCTGTATAAGGTACATTTCAAATATTATAAATAAAATATATAAAACATCAGGTAAATTATTGTGGAAAATTACATTTAATTATTATTGCTTCTAAAATATCTACATAGTGTTTTCAGTACGGTTCTGTTTCCGGTTTAAACCTGCTAAATTAAATGTATTTATGGTAAGAGGTGTAATGCGCTGTTTCAAGTAATAATAATATTATAATCCGTTCTGTGGGCGTTTGCCATACGAAACTTTTCAACTTACCTTAAACTCTTTTATTTGTCGACGGACCGTAACGACTTTAAAGGCTGTATAATATTTGATAATATATAATGTTATATAACTGCGTCTTGGAGAATACCTGTGGAATACGAAACAGTTGTAATGTATATTGTATGCATCAAATTAATGATTGAAGTATTATTTTTTTTCCGAAAACCGACCACTAAAGATCGAAAATAGCGATTTAGCTGCGGTCTCTCACTGCTCATCGATTGTCGATTGAATGTCAAAAACGAGGTAGGTGGAGCGAGCCTATCCCTGAACGGTTTGCGATTCCCACAAAATCTTACATAAAGTCGGCTTATCTCGTATGCGATAAAAGTATGACGACGACGACCTTTTTAAGCAGACCGTTTCAATCCGGTCGGGAGCAGTAGCTGCAGTTATTTATACATTATTTCGTTACACGCGAAGCTCTTAGACGGTCTATACTCTATATATATGCGGACACGAGTTTTATTTTTATTCGTAACGCGCCATCACGCATGTATAATTCAGTTCACTCCGAAAAAACGCAAAAGGGCGAGCGGTGGGGTTTGGTGCGGGGGATGCGCGCCAGACCCGGAAAGTCATCGTCTCAGGTAAATTTCCACCCCTATATTATTATACCGGACCCGAGGTATTTATACAATATATTATATAGGTACCGGGCGATAGTCGTCGGTGAGGTTTTATTTTTCCACTCTACTGTTTTTCATTATTATTATTATTATTATTTATTTCACTCCGGCGCGGCGGCACCAAAGCCCAGCGGACGCTTTCTTTGTAATTTAAATCCCGCCCTCGTGCGCTCGCCGTCCCACCACTGTTCGATGCGGTAAGGAAATCCCTAGCGAATTTCTCGATTCCACTCTGCCTCTTCACTCTCTCTCTTTCTCTCTCACGTGGGAATATATATTATGCGTAGGTACACATCGGGATTTCACTCCTCGAAAGACAGTGCATGAGCGTGAATATATAGTTTGCGATCGATATTCGGTCGGGATTCCGGTTTTCCGAGTGCGGCCGACTCGTATAAAACGAATCGAGCGGTTTTTAGACGTCGGTGTTTAATTAAATATCGACGGTTCTTCCGCCGCATGACCCTCCGGACCCGTTTTAACGACCTCTGTTTGTTTCATCGGTGATTTAGAATTTATACTATTTTTATAATTTTTCCGCGGTGATGATAATCGTATAATGTTGTTATTATAAGTATACCCAAACTCGACGGAGTTAGGAAAAATAGAAGTTTGTATCACCTTTAATATCATACTCACAGACTCCTAGGTTCTATTCATTTTTGACTAAAGCCTTTGACTCCCCTGCTATGATCTTATTATTATCTTATATTATTATTGCCCATAGACACTAAATAGATGTCGTGAGATTGTGACCATCTTGGTTGATTGCTGACAACGCCGGTCGACACGCTAATGAGCCGGGACAAAACGTTTTCAATTTCGACGCTGTTTCGAAAGTTTTTCCGCTCACTTCTGTTGCAGCTTTTCGCTTTAGAGTAGTTTAGACTGCACATCGCCAAAATAACACAAGCAACCTCGTTACCGCGAAAATGCGATTTCAAAAGCCGTAGCTTTGACTTTATAATGTTTTACTGTCGCAATATAGAAATTAATATATAGTAAACAATATCTTATGGCTTTTGGGACGGCAGAATGAGAAAATCGAATATTATATTTATTTTTTTTCATTATTATATTAAAGCTTCGATGACTGAAACCATTAGTCCAACCAAGGGCTTGTAGGGTTGGGATGGTTGGTATGGTTGGTTGGAAACACTGTGTAAGTGTTGTGGTAAGGTTTTTGCCACTACAAATTCGGGTGGTCACCCATCCGAGAGCTAGTGGCAGTGGACGTCGTTTACTATCTCATCCATGTTGCGTGATTGATTGTAGCTACCCAGCCATTCCATGCCATGAATATTATATTTTAATAACGGCTTCGAGTCACGACCTCCCCCCCACCCTTCCGATTGAATCCTGAGACCGATTGCTTTCCGCCAGTGTCACTTATATTATATTAATAACATGTACTACACCGGGATGCTAATGTTTAACGGTGAAGAGTGAGTGGGTTCTTGACAATCACGTGATTTCTGAGTACGACTTTTAAGTTGATTAATTCGATACCAACATTTTTGTCTGTCGTTTTTTTTTCTCTTCACAATTTTTGAATCGTTTGAACAATAAACCTATTTAAAATATAGTAAAAAATATAGGATATTATATTGTTGCAAAGTATATTATATATTATTGTCATTTTGTATTATTTTCTCTCTGAGGCAATTTGTCCATCATTATATTTATAGAGTCTTAATAACATCAATAACGGAAATAAAAAAATGCATTTTATCAATTTCAATCGACAAGTGTTGACGGTTTGTTTTTTGTTTGTGCCTTCGTAACAAAATCACATGTTATAATTTTCATTGTACCGAAAGAGTTGTTTCGAAGAGTCCCCCAAAAATATGCCATTTATCAATTCAAACCTCACTCCTAATAATATATGTAGGACATTTTTAGCAGTTATTTTTTTTATTTCAGTAATTCCTATCAAAACGTGATATATTTAAAGTATTTTAGTTTATTTAGAATAGTTTTTATAATACTATTTGAGGGCATTTTATGGTTTTAATAAAAGCGATATTTCTTATTAGAACTAGTACTAGATGAAAATATTCTAACTGAAATCGATATAAAAAAAATTTTTTCATATTGTTATTTTTCCTTGATCATTTTTGTTATTTTTTTTAAGTCAAAATGACGTGTATACCTGCCATAAAACCAATTACCTGCATACATTTTGAGCAAATGTAGTACAGATGAGACCATCCAATAGTTTCGATTACAGATCGTCCGATATCGCAAACCACAAGTCCGTTGGACGACGCTGTATAGTAATGTAGACCTGGCCCCAAGTACATACATAGGTAGGTACTACATTAATATGGTGCGTGGCGCACGCCGAAGTAGGAATTATCATAAAATGGCTATAATATTATAATATTTCAGTACGACATCCGCCGTCACCACCGGCAATTCTCGTTTATATAATTAATTCCTTATGGTAGGGTCTCTAGGACGAAGTTAACACTGCGCTTGCCATAGATTAGAACAAAATTAGCATCCCGTTCGGTGGCTGCAGAAGTTAAAATAGTTATAATATAAACATATCGGTGGCTAACGGTAAATGTGGTTTTTGAGGTTCACGCTGTCAATGAAAACAATGGTTTCTCCGTCATTAGATGAATATAATACAGGGACGGCGTTTAAGGACTCTTCGCGCCTCTACAAAGACACAATCTATAATAAAATAATAATAATAATATTATAATGAACCCACTGTAGCGACTTGGCTTTTGCGGCGTAGACTGCCTAGTCTTACTTCAGAGTTCAGGTCAGGTTATACCACTGTACAAGGGACAAACATCGAATGAAACGACAAAGGTTAGGACGACTGAATTTTAAAACAAGTAACATGCATCGACATCAGATCACAATGATGATTATGGGGACCGAGCAATAACGTTTTGTTTTGTACATTTTTAAAATTTAGTAGGTACGGTACACATTGGTTAAGTTTTTAAGCGATACGTTTAAGAAATACTTGGTAAACCACTGGTTTTTATAGAATAAGATTATTTACTGATGATCCCTTCGATTTTGTTTTGACAGTTTTTGAGGTTCCAAAAATAACTGTACCTACATCACCTTATACTTCTACATGACGCCAGAAGACTGCACTGATAACGATTTTATGTCATTTAATGATAATTGTAATCGATTTTAATCGATGTTCGATTCTTAATGTGATTATATCGAGTTAGAATCATACAGTAACTGTACAACAGTTGTACAATGTCGACGAAAATAGTTCTTACGATAGGTATACAAAAGGTACGGTTTATGAATAATAATAATATTATAAAACTTTAAAGCCTTATAGCGATATCACGCTTCATACATAGCATATTATTATTATTGATATTTTACACGTCTTCGATTTTCGACTTCCGATTGTATTTATTATTTTAATGGTTATTGTTGCACGTTTTATAACTTTTTTTTATAACTTCTGCGTGCCATTTATACTCCGGTGGCTACAACTCCATAACGTATCATAAAATGCACAATTTCAATGTGTGTATTAAAAATAAAAAAATGTGAGCGCATACACTTGCACGTACACTAAATCCGTTTGACTTTTTCAAATTTCGTTAATCCCGAGAGACGTCGT